GTGAGAAGGAAAGTGTCATGTCAGCTGAGGGTTCAAAGTCGACTCTTCAGTACATCCGATGGCAAATTTGGCCCTGACCGTGCGTCCTTATGCAAGCAAGCCCGTGAGAGATTCTTGGCTAATGCTGTCTAGCAATAGCTCCGCAACTGTTTTTACAAGCCCAAACCCTAAACTTAACCTAAACCGATGCAAATCAAAATCTGCAAAGCAAAACACAGAGATGTGAATCGTGCAGTTCATGGGAGGGTAGGGGACTATACTTCCTTAAATAAGCCTTATTAGATCCTTACGAACTACGGGAATTAAGGCCCCCTACCCCTCCCTATCAACGGTGTAAACCAGGGTCAAGTCATCCCAGGCACGGAGTGCACACGCTGGCGCCGGTGTTGACCATGTCGGTTCCCTTCGGACATTTCTTGCAAGCCTCCCACGGCTGGCGTTGCGAATCTAGGATTGCAGGCCCAAAGCCGAGCCAATAACTCGAAACCCAAAGCCCCAAACCCTGAAATCAACATCTGCTTAACAGGAAGCCTCGAAAACTCTTCAGGGTACCGGAGCCACTTCCTCTGCTTTAGTTGCTCCCCGTCCTGAATTACAAGCCCCAGCAAACGGCGGGAACCCTAAACCCTGAACCCTCTTTCGGACTTGGGTTTGGGCTGTGCTGCCCTTCTTACAAACTTGTTACTAGGTCCTCCGTCCTCCGACCCCTGGACACCTATGACGCCCTACAAAAGCCGTACAAACCCCTAGCAGGGTTCCACGAAGACTAACAGGAAGATGCGAAACCGGAGTTCACACAAAACAGTAAATTCTAAACCTAAACCCTCAACCTCTTCATAGAACCCTTTTAGATCCCTCTAAGGCACCTTTATGGATCCCTTTAAAGGAACCCTAAACCCTAAACCCCAACAGCTCACTGCCCCGACGTGTCCCAGCAGACCTCCAGCCCCAACTCATCCGAGTAGAAGCCTGGTCAAAGCTTCAGAGTCCAGGACTTTAGGGCTTAGGGTTCCTCTAAAGAGATCCATGAAGGTAGGCTTTATAGAGTTTAATAGGGGTTTCGGGCTTGGGTTGGTTGGTTGGGTTGGGGTTTAGGGTTTGGGGCTTAGGGTTTACGGCTTTTCGGCTGTAACCCTTCACCCTAAACCCTCAACCGTTACAGGATCTAGGGTGTAAGGTGCTCGCGTCAGCCGTTAGCGGTTAAACTACCTTTCCTAGCTTAGCTTGCCATTACGTACTGAGTTTAGTGGTGTCACGGATTGTTGCTTCACCAAGTTCTTACCTGAGACCGTCTTGCAGACGAGGCGAAAAGCCAATCCGATTGCCTGACTCTGAGGCTGCACAAGGCGACGAAGCGGCTCCATCCTAGCAATTTGAGGGCTCGCTGGACTCGAGCTTGCATTGGTTTCTGGTGGAGGGGGGTGAGAGTGCATGACTCCAGGATGTTTCTGGATGATATTTGGAAGCCTTGCCAAGTCAATGTTCATTGATTGCGTATTAAATAGCCGCAAACTCATGAGCTTGAGCTCCAGCATACGGCCAGGCAAGCTTGGCGGATCGCCTTCGCCGGCTTGCGAGGAGGCACTTTGCTCCAGACCTGCGGTAGCACTGCTGACTCTGTAACAAGACCCAGCAAGCCCCAAACTCTTGCATCTGCGCGGCGCTCAGGGTCTTAGGTGCTTTGACGCGCTTCTGGCTCTCAAACTGACTCAGGAGAGGTGCATGCATGTTCTAGGTTTAGGCTGTCTTGGGGCAAAATCTTCATCGGTTTTAGGAGGTGTTTGGGGAAGAAGAGGTTTCGGGGTATGGGGAGATGATTTCGGCGTGGGGCAGTCGGGGAACCCTTGCATTCTAAACCCTGAAGTTTGGGTGCTTAGGGTTTACCCCGTCGTAAACCCTCCCTCCTGTGGTTCATGGTTTGTTCCCGGTTTAGAGCTAAGCTTTAAGGGTTTCCCCGTGGTTCCCCTGTGGTTCGTGGTAGGTTTCGGGTTAGCGGGCTTCGTTCACCACGCTGTTTCAGGGAACTCCACTTTCGTGAAACACATTCCAAAAAAGATGGCTGCCATGTTCAAGCCGACTCTACCTCAGGGCGGGCCATGACCGATGCCTTACGCTCAGGTGCGGCAGCTTCCGGCACTTCCCTACACCACACAGCACTGAACGCATCATGCTTGGCAAGCGGATCCTCGCAGTGTGCACAACTGAAAAGGCGCAGAAACGCGGTTCACCGAGGGTCCCGTAGAGCGATCAGGGTTGGAGATTAGGGGAGGTTTCAGCGTGTTTGTCTAGCTTCATACATGTTGTGAAAGAACTTGGGTGTATCGGTGCGGCCGCGCGCCGTCAGCGGTCGGACGCGTGCGCGTGCGGTCAGGTCGCTGCATGGGTGAGGGCGCGCACGGATCGGGGGTGCGCCGATACGTCGATTGAGGCCTTGGAAAGATAAATCGGTGTATCGGTGCGAGCGGGCTGATTGGCGGTTAAAACAGTAAGCAGGAGTCCTTGATGCCCACGCCCTCCACCCCCCTCCCCCACCCACACCCACCACCCACCACAACCCATCCCTCCTCACCCACACCCACCCTCCGACCCACCCACTCTGCCTCGCTTACTTTCTTTTCATACTTCAAGACCTCGAGACATGCAAACTGACCTCAAAGAAGATCGTCCCATGGCAGAGGTTGCCTAGCTTCTATCATGAGAATGATCGCGATTGCGATGGCGTTCATCATGGCTTGGAGTCTCGAGGCGCAGAGAGGCTTCCGGAGTGGACGTTTGGGAGATTTTTGGGGCTTTAGCTTTAGGGTATTTTTGGGGTTTAGGAAATTTTCGGAAGTTAGGAGACATTTAGGGCTGACGGCTTGGGGCTTAGGAGTTTTGAACTGCCTCCGGCTCAAAGTTGGCTCAGGAGACTTTCACGCATTTTGTGGGCTTAGGCTGGCGGGGTTCATACAGGTTATAGGTTGTAAATAGGTGTTTGGGCAAACAGGAGGTTGGGGTCTCATGCGCTTAAGATCGCCTGAGAGTTTTTGTGGGAACATGATTTTGGTGTAGGGCAGCTTGGGATCCTAGCCAAACACTGCAGCCTAAATCCTAAGCCCTGCATCCTAAGCCTTAAAATTCCCAATCCTAAATCCTTGAGCGCGCCTTCACCCAGTGCTCTTCCCACCAGGGGTCGCCCTGCCGCAAGCGGGGAGGGGGGCTGGAGGGGGGTGGGTGGGGGCACTTTCCAATACTCCTAGATCATGACACGTCCAGAACGAGCACAAACCGGCCTGGTAGTCCGCCATGCCGCACTCGGACTATGTTACAGTGCCTAGCTCTGTAGGTTTCAAAGTTCGAAGGACCGAAAGGGTCTTGAGATTAATGTGACGGTTCTTGAAACATCAGGAAACGCAAGGACAGACATCCTGTGTTAAACAAACCACCGGGCAGTCTAACCATCCACCGAAACTGTTTAGTTTAGGTTTTTCTGGAGGGTGAAAATGCTCCGCACGTGGAGCTGTGTTCTGTGCTGCTGTGGTGCTCTGTGCTGCTGTGGTGCTCTATGCTGTTGTGGTGCTGACTCAAGCAAAGCAGGCGCTGATCAGCCAGAAGTCCGACAGTCACGCAAGGCATTTAGTGCCTACTTCACCCAATCACCCAGACGCGAGTTCGGCTCCAGTTGCTTTCCATTTAGCTGGCTAATTACATTTCACTAACCATATCATTTCATTAGGCCGATAGGAAGTGTTAAGTTAAGTAGGATTTTCCTAGCAGAAGACACGCGGCTGACACTTTCCTTGCTCATTCATCCGGCGCCCAGGGTCTCGTCATTCCCTGATGGTTGAGGTCTCTCGAACAGATAGAGACGTGACGACGCATCCCAACGCACTCAACTCCCCAAAGCACCACTATAGAGATACTGAAAACACTGCCGGTATTCTAGGTCTCCATTATATAAGCGACTGACAAAACCCTGTGTAGGGGGCTTTCCAAGGACTTGGCGCCCCAAAGCTTCACAAACTCAAGGTGAACCTCTCGTTTTTCTTGGGCAAAGTTTGGGCAGCAGCCCGCTGGCACAGGAAAAAATAAAAATGCCGCAGAAAACTCCACAAGCCTGGCCCTGAAGCCGAAAGCCTGGAGGGAGCTGGAGACTAGCCAGCCCTGAAACACCCTCAAAAAAAAAAGAAACAAAGCCAGAGAACGCATGAACCATCAAGGCCCCACACAATCGATGCGATGCAGCGCCCCGGGCTGGGCTGGTAAGCTCCGCCCACGGAAGATCTTGTTGTGCCCGGCAGGCAACTTTTAGAACCCCAACCGGAAGTGCTGCAAGCAGCTCACGGGCCCAAGCAGCTTGCCGACTTGCTCAGGGATACCCCTGAGAAAATGTTGCTTCCAAACAACTAAAAAAGTGAAACAGAGGCGGGGGCGCAAGCAACACCAATGACGCAGCTTTGGTGCAAAGCACTCTTCCTCCAGCTTCAGATCCAATGACGCAGCTTTGGTGCAAAGCACTCTTCCTCCAGCTTCAGATCGTGTTTCAAAGGCCTTCCGCACAAATTTGCAGCGTTCTCTATTCTACTTCGAATGCAAGACGGATTGCAGTGCAAAGCGTTCTGACCGCAATCCTTTTTTACCGCAGAGATTGCTAAGGATGCTATGCTGTGCGAGGCATTGCTCGCCGTAGGAGAAAACAAGGCATGCGATGCCGAGCTAACCCCCAGGGCGTGGAGGGTGGGTGAAAATTCTGTTGCATGCGATGCAATGCGTGAGAAAGCTAGTTGTTAGTGTCTTGTGCCGAAAGGCGGTGCGAAGCAACAGTTACATTCGACACAAGAAACAGAAAACACAGTTGATACAAAAAACAAACTCACAACTAGCGTTCTCTATTCTACTTCGAATGCAAGACGGATTGCAGTGCAAAGCGTTCTGACCGCAATCCTTTTTTACCGCAGAGATTGCTAAGGATGCTATGCTGTGCGAGGCATTGCTCGCCGTAGGAGAAAACAAGGCATGCGATGCCGAGAACGACTACACCGCTCTTGGCGGCAATGATGAAGGGAAGCGGCCCGGCAGACTTTGGGGCCGAGCCGGCTGCCGAGGTGGCCAAGGACCCGTACATGGCCTCGCCAACCACATCCCTGCACCTGCCGTCTATGGGAGCGGCCAAGAGGACGAGATCGCGATCTGTGTCCAGGCGTACGCCTGTCAAGGAGCAGGGACGCAAGCCACAGGCCAAGCCACCCACTGGCCCAACTCTGGGCGAGAAGCTGGCAGAGGCCAGGAACTCTCAGGTGATCGATGCAGATGCCGACATCGACGAGGACGAGCTTGTGGCGAACCTTGGCCAGGCGGAGGTGGCTTCTGGAGATGGGAGCAAGACCCTGTGATGAGGGGTGATGAAGCCAGATATCCGCGGGGAGTGCAATATGACCCTGGCGGAGAGGCATGCAGGCTTTTTCGGTGTGTCCTGCGACCTCAGGTAGCAGACTCGGTGATGGGTCGAGATCTGCCAGTATCATGCTATGAGTGCTGGTGCGGAAGCCATTGGCACCTGATGGCCCACTGCTATGTGGGAGATGTTCGGCCTTTGGGCATGGACAATGAGGAGGTGATGTTTGCGAAAGTATGGAGCCTTCTGGACGTGGGGGCGACCCTTTCTGATTCGTTGGTGAGTTTTCTTGAAAGGCTGTGCTACCACTGCGAAGTATGGTGGTATGGTCTATGGTGTACTGGCAGCTGGGCGATCTTGTGCTCTCTGCTGCTGGCCCATGGATGCCAAGTGCTTTGGAAAAGGCCATTTGCTGTACCGAGAAAGGGTGTGGCAGCGAGGCCTGTGTGGATTGCGATTCCCCTGGCCCTTGGTCTGCTTGGACAAGTTCAGGCGGCGAAACACTTGGACCCACTGGCATATAGATGTGCTGGACTCCCGTCGCCCTTTGAGCAACAAGCTCAAGCGGAAGCCAACATGGTTTGGACCAGGCCCCTCTACAGCGGCGGACTTCTACCAGCACATGTTCATCCTGATGGACCTGAACCGCTACCACGACCTGATCCAGGTCCGGTACTTGTACAAGAAGCGCAGCGAGACCCTGGAGCACCAACGGCCCATCACATCTCTGTCTGGGTCACGTCTCCCTTCTGTGGTCCGGAGAGTGTGGATGTGGCGTACGAGTTCCCGATGTCGATGGAGCAGGTCTATGACGTGGCCAGGGACAGCAGGAATGCCATGGCACAAACCTGGCTGAAGTATGTGGTGCCAATTCAGCCTCAGCTCCATGACGACTATGGCTCCTTGATGTTGCTCCCTGACTGGGTCATTCACTCTGATAAGTGTGGAGTTCTCCTAGATGCCCGGGATGCCAACAAGGAAATTTTCGCCTACTACCATACAGGGCCTTTGACCAGATATTCGGTCCTCCAGCATGCTGAGTTCCCTCAAACTGCACCAGTTGAAGTGTTTGTTGGGGGAGATCTGGCACCCTTGGGCCCCGCGGAGTCCCGGAGGCCAAGTCAAGGAATCCTGGTAAAGATCATGCCTCGAGGCATGACGCCTGTGTGGTCTGGAGTCCTGGAAGACCGGCTTCGAGATCCAGACCAATGGAACCCTCACCAGGAGCACCCACTGCCCGCAGACGTGAAGCTCATAGCCTTCCAAACCGAGCAGGAGCAGCACTTGCACAGAGCTGTCCGTGGAACTGAGGATACGCAGAGCACTGTTGTGGTCAGGGAGTTCGACAAGGTGGCTGGCTCCTTTTGGCTAAGGGCGCCTACGGATCGCCCTCGCCGATTGAACTGGTGTGGACTCCGAGTGCACACCATTGTGGCGGTGGCAGATACAGCTGAGCACCCACGGCCTGGCACCCAGATTGTCTTCGTTGATCTTCGGGGAATTGGAGTGTGGCCGCAGTGGGTGGCGGTCCAGAACCACCGTTTTAACCCTGGGCGTTACGTGGAGGCCCTCCAGATTGAGGTCGTTGAAGGCTACACGGTCGTCGTCTACGGTGGAAGACAGGTTGGTCGCGAAGGTGACCTTCATGTTGAATATGGTGACACCGTTGAGGTTGCTTTGCGATGCGTGGTAGACTTATCTAAATTCAAGAGCCATGCTCTGGAGGGCAAGTTGGCTAGGGGTACGGTAAGACGGGGGCAGGGGTACGGTACGACCGGGGCGGGGGTACGGTACGACCGGGGCGGGGGTACGGTACGACCGGGGCGGGGGTACGGTACGACCGGGGCGGGGTACGGTACGACCGGGGCGGGGGTACGGCACGACCGGGAACGAGGTACGGTACGACCGGGGCGGTGGTACGGATACGACCGGGAACGAGGTACGGCAACGAGTACGGTACGATCGGGGCAGGTACGGTACGACGGGGACGGGGGTACGATAGGAGCGGGGCGGTGGTACGTACAATGGAGGTACGGTGCAATAGCCTTTAAAGAGTTAGTTTGTAGTATATAGTGCATATTTGAGTAGTAGGCGTATAATTCGGAACTACTTCTGTGGGTGTATTGAGAACAAGAAACAGATAGTGCATCAAGGACGCAAAGACTTGCTAATCAAGTCACTCTGTGGGCGGGCAGATGCACACCAATTGCAGCATGCACGCGACTGTCGTATTTTTCCCCAAGCTTCGAAGTCAGCTCGTGTTTCTCCGCTCCCCGGCTGTGCTGTTCGAAGGATTATGGCCGATTGGGCAACTGTACATGCCAGCCAATCACATCCGGCGTTGCTTTTTCAATGCCGAGATCAGCACACTCACGTCCATGTCCTCTTCGATTTCCGAGTCGGTCGGATATGATAGTTCCAGGGCTGCTGCGAGGAACACAGCGAGCATCAAGGGAGCGGTAAACCTGAGCTTATCTCTTCGCGGGATCAGGGTTGTTGAATTGTGTTTACTTTTTATTTTAAAGACAGGCTTAATTATACTCTGTCTTTTCTTTCTCTAACTTCCCTTCAACGGCATGTTCGGCAAGGTGCGCGTTGCCTGCTAAATCGCCGAGCTTGTGCTCGTCAAAGAGATGCAACACATCCGTGTCGAATTGGATGCCCTGCATGTGGAGCATCTTTCTTCCTGAATGCAAAGCAAACGCGACACCGCTAAAGCAAGACAACTTCTAAAAACATGCAAAGCCAAAACCGCGAAGCTTAAGCTTGCAAGGCTCCCACAATCAGGCGGTTCGACGCAAGATCATACATCTTGCTGCCCGGAAGAAGAGTCGGCATCTCCTAAGATATCATCAAACTGTATCGCTCAAACTTTCACCCAGCATTGTCAGCTAACAAAATGGGCAAGGTTCTTCAGCTCCGCTTGTTGGCGTGCGGGATGAAGACTGGTAGATGTCTCCGAACCTGATGAGGCCCTTGCCCGCTTTGCCAAGATTCATGTTGTCGTTGTGCAGGAACAGCACGTTCTTGGCTGATGGCACCCGGTTTATCACGCCACATACTGTTGCTGCTTGCCATTATGATGAACCGGGGTGGTGATGACGAGTACACTGCCAACTAACAACTCTAGCCGGGCTCAGTTTAATAAAGTACCTTGGGACATTTACGGCTTGGGGTTTAAAGTCTAAAATAGACGATTTAACCCGCCTTGGTGACGTTAGTGACCAAACCTGCAGCTCCCTTCCTGTATCAACTAAATCCTAAATCCCCTAGCCTTAGATTCTACATCGAATCTAAATCCAAACTGTAATTCTCTGTGGTTCCAAATTCCAGAAACAGCCAGAATCAGACACAATCCAATACTGGCTGACATAACCAGGTGTCCTCTTTCTCCCTGTGGCTCAAACTCGCAAACCATCGGGACTCTTCGAAACACTCTGGAATAGCAAGCGGCCAGCTGATGCCACCTGGCGCGAATCGAAAGGATCAGTGCTAGCTGCTAGTAACATTACCAACTGATTATTATATGTACACGACTCACGACATATCTCACACTCTCATCTCAATTCAAACCAGGAGGCGTTTCTCAGCCAATTCCATGTGAACGCCCTTCCACTTGCTGAACTCCTTCTCGATACCATCATCTTCGTCCTTATCTTTGTCCTTGTCCTTTGTATCCTTCTTCGCCTTGCGGTTCTCTGCGCGGACCTCCGCTTTCAAGATCGCAAACTCCCGGCGAGTAATCTCGCCTGTCACCACACAGCTGTCGGCGGGCAACAAAAAGTCGGCCTCATTCGCGAACTTTAGTTCGAGACTAACTGGCTTGCCAAGGATTAAGTACAATAAACCGAGCCGAGGGTGAGTCGCATAGCTACACTCATTGACTCATTAATCCAAGGAGCTGGCGGCTGACATTTCAGTTTCATACCTTGTAGCCTCTTTGCAATGTTGTCGAATTTGGGATTCGGGTGCAGCTTTTTGTTGAAACCTACGAAAAACAATCTGACCCTCCTTTGCGGAACGCCGTAATCGGAGCTCTGTATTCGATAAGCCTTGACTGCGAAGCCTTGTTGGCGCAAGCTTAGCATCACATTTTCGAAATTGCAGTCGCCAGCTCCGTTGTAGTCATCGGCGGACGTCATGTCCACATTCTCGAGTAGGAAGAACTCCGTTTCGATCTCGCGCAGCGTGTCCAACACAGCCCGGAAAGTCTGATATGTGGATGATTCCTGGGCAAAGCTTCTTCGACGGTTTAGTTTTGTTGGTGTGATGTCTAGCTAGAGTCTAGTCTAGAGTCTAGAGTACAAATTCATAGATGACAATAATGGCAGTTTGTGGCGTGCAATCACTGTGGAGTCAGGAATGAAACATGCTCGAAATTGAATTCAGGATTTAGAATACAAGGCTTCTCTTTTGCTCAACATTGCCTCCCCCTGATTGTAAACCGCTTTTGCGAAGCTCGCATGGTCTTTGTGCATCTTCGACAAGGACTTGCACGAGAATCCACCGCACAAACACCACAGCTTGCTCGGAATGACCTCGACAGTGGACTCTGTACTCTGTACACGACATGTAAAGCATAAGCTACAGCTATAGCTTAAACTTAGGCTTAAACAGGTTGATTTGGAAAAAAATCACACAGAACTCCCAATATGGTGCAAGTATCGCACGAAGAGTCTTGATCCTCTAGAGCTGGGTGTCTTACGCATGCCTTCGTGTCGAGGTATGTGCACGCATCTTTGAACAAACAGCATCGACCAAAGGCGCCAAGGGGGCCACTGGGAAACGCCGTGAGTAGGAATTTTTGCTTCCAAACCTCCTTCTCACACATGAAGGCATGGTTGACCTCAACTAATCACAACTGGATGTAATCACTAGCGCTCGACAACACTGGACTGGACTTGATTGCAGCCACAAGAGATTTACGGGGGTGCATCCTTTAAATTTTAGATTTTAGACTTGAATCGAAGCAAGAAACCTCCAGATGCGAAGCCGCACTACCAAACACACGTCGGATCTGATTGATAGCGACCTCAGTTACCTTCGCAAACGTTACTGCACCTGTGAACAGGTCACCAATTGATAAGGACGATGACCATGATCGTATGCGGTCTTCAAGTCGCGGAACTTCAGCAGCAAGATGATCCAGCATGATCTGAAAGAAGCATTCCACAAGACTGTAACAACAACAGTAGCAGTAATCTTAGGGATGTAGCTGAATATTCTAATCGTATAAATAATAAAACATAGCTAAGATTCTAAGAGGTTGGAGACTCATTGGATAATATTTGGGCTACAAATTGCATATCGCCTACTGACTTGCTGCGTTGCTTGTTTTTTGAAGCCACATGCCTTCGCGGAAGACTCAAGGATGCGATTGATGTCCGGGTGTTTGCTCGTCGGTGGTGGCGGGAAGACGTGGGAGCTGTAGTTCGTGTGCTCGTGTTCGGACTTTGTGTCGTCTGCATCATCACGGGCCATTGCCGGGTCACCCTCATTGTCCGACTCGACGTCATGAGTCCCACAATCGGGAGTGCGGGGAACCGATTCCGAATCATGCAACTTCCGGTCACTATCTTGCACAGCGCCGTACTCTGCTTCCATCAGCTTCTCCAAGTCTTCCTCCAAACTTGTCCTCAGTCAGCTTGTTCAGGTGCTCTACGAAAGCGTCAACAGAGGTGTTCTCGCTTTTCTCCGGTGGATCGTCATTGGCCTGAGTGTGCGGCTCACCAACCACTGTCGGCACATCCATGCCTGAGCAGTCTGCATGATTTGCATGTGGCTCATCCTTGAACTGCTCAGCACCCACTGTCGGCGACACATCCATGCGTTCGCCTGAGCAGTCTGCATGATTTGCATGCAGCTCATCCTTGAACTGCTCAGCAACCACTGTCGGTGACACATCCATGCCTTCGCCTGAGCAGTCTGCATGATTTGCAGGCGGCTCATCATTGAACTGCTCAGCCACCACTGTCGGTGACGCATCCATACAATCGCATTTGCCGTCTGCATGACCTGCAAGCGGCGGATCATCCTGGATTTCAGCAGCACCCGTTGGCGCCAAAGGTTCACTGTGCCCGGCAACATTGTGCGATGCATCGGGCTGAGAATCGGCATTCCCCGGCTCACCATTCATCAGCGGCATCGTCGATGCTGAACTCATTGACTTCTCTTGGGCGGCCTGCACACAACAGTTTGGGCACGTGTGCAAGGTGCAGGATTCGGATACACAAGATCCTCAGCTCAAGGAGTAGTGTAGTGTAGTATTAGAAGTAGATAGCAGAAAAAAATATAGTTGTATAGTATAGTATAGTTATAGTATAGTTATAGTCATAGTCATAATTAGAGTTCACTAAGTTCACTACCGCAAAGTCAGAGTCTTGCGTGGGGCGGGGTTTTGGGTTTTGGGAGTCTGACATCAAGAATCAAGAATCAAGAATCAAAACCAAAACTCACAACTCGCAACACAAACTACGGAATGTACCGCGTAGCCCCGCCTGCAGCTTCCAATCGGACCTCCACGAAGCCCACTTCTCTGCGTACTGTTTCTGAGCGGCTTCACTGATCGGAAGAGGTTTATCTGAATCTTTAGGCGGTTTCGCTGTGGGCTTACTCTTTGGAGTCGGAGTCTTTGCCGTTGCCTTTGGCGGCTTTGGCGTGCTCTTGGCTTTGGCACTGGCGCCTTGGGGTTTCTTGGGAGGCATGGCTCGCAACTCGCACAGAGTCTGACACACCCCGATTTCAAACTTTGCATGATCGGATATACGAAATTCAAGTTGAGATCATGAGTCACGAGTCACGAATCAGGGTAATCAGAAACTCACCTGCCTGAATCAAGACTGACTAGACTCACTCAAGGCAGCAGCACGCATTGGTTCTGCTCGGCCCTACACAAGCCCTCCCTACACGCGACTGACAAGTACTTAATGAATCATGCTGGTTCGCATTGTGCAGCAGCGCAGCAATCACTGACACAGGTTTCGTTCTCCCCTCGCTGCTCATTGAGCCTGGTGCTTGATGTCCGATCTTGGAAACGCCACGGCAACGCAAGCTTGATTTCCAATCTTTGAAACAACTATGATTGCAAATTTTGATGCAACTTTGGACTTGCGCCTTCAAGTCTCTGCCATGTCATTCAACTTTGTGTCAGAATCCTAAGCTTCTCCGTTGACCTTCTGTGCTTCAGATCTTTGATCTGAAAGTGTCCATTACACCCGCTCGATTTCAGCGATCCAGCATGTTCATGCTTTGGGGTGGGTGCATTCGGAGCGCAAGTTCCGATTTTTTCTGTCAGTGGGGCACCTTTTTTACACATCGGTGGGAAAAGTCGATGTGCCGAATCAAGAACGAAAATTCTACGAATCACAGGCCCTCTTCCGTCCAGTTCGTCCCACAACTGTTCACTTGTACCCTCCGTCGACAAGCTGCAGAAGGTTCGCTTGCAGCCTGACGGCCACAACACTGTTCTGAAATTTCAAGGCCAGCTTCAATTGGCCGTGGTGCCTGAAGAATGATCAACGTGAAGCTGGCCCTTCTTCACGGCTCTGTAACGGGCATGCATGATAGCATCACCCGCATTCGCAAACAGTAGTGGCCAAAACGAGCCTTTCTTGCGTGTAGAACACATTCCCGACATCTTGCCAAGAAGACTCCATCATCTGCCATCAGCAGATCAACTGGCGGAGCCGTGCCCTAAACCAGATTGAATGAAATGACGGGTCCTTTGGTGGATCTGTCAAGAACTGCAATAGGAATTGGCACTCCATGGCATCACCTGCAGCGCTCAACAAGCAAGTATGGTGCTCTGAATTCGAGCATCTCTGCCCCCCCCAATCCCCGCTCAACAAAAAAACGTATCCTCACCACCACCACCACCACCACCTTCCGATAAACGCCCCCCCCAACCCCATCCCCCCCACACAGACTGCTTCTACTTCTACTTCTACTTCTGCTTCTACTACTACTACTACTACTACTACGACTACTACTACTATTACTACTATTACTACTATTACTACTATTACTACTATTACTACTATTACTACTATTACTACTATTACTACTATTACTACTATTACTACTATTACTACTATTACTACTATTACTACTATTACTACTACTACTACTACTACTACTACTACTACTACTACTACTACTACTACTACTACTACTACTACTACTACTACTACTGCTACTACCACTACAATAACGACTACTGGAACTACAACTACTCCTACTCCTACTCCTACTCCTCCTCCTACTCCTGCCCCTACTCCTACTCCTACTCCTACTGCTACTGCTACTCCTACTCCTACTGCTACTGCTACTGCTGCTGCTGCTGCTACTGCCACCGCTGCTGCAACCACTACCGCTACTGCTACGGTTATGGCTACTGGCACCACCGCTGCACCGGAGGAGGAAGGGAAGGTGGTGGTAAACCCTCCCAGGCTGAGGGAGTGGAGACCGCCTTGCAGAGAGAATCCTAGGTTGTCTTCCTGCTGACAGTTCGTCTATGGCAACGAACTTCAGCAACACGTTCCGTAACGATCCAAGAACTTCAACATGCTACCCCGTGCCCGAATGAATTAAAAAGTGACTTTTGAAGTGGGCGATGTGTCCACAAACAGACACACCTTTGACACGGAGTTGTGGAGCAACCCTTCAAAACCCGTAAGACGTGAAAGAAACTGAGGAGACCACTGCATTCCCGTAGCATGTTCACCAACACCGGCAAGAAGGGATTGGTGGCGGTCCCCGGTTCAGTGCCCCGAGCATTCCTGAACAGGTTCTCGAGTTTCAGCATGAAGTTTTTTAGGCTTGCAGCCAAGACTTCTTTAACCCCCAGGAAAGCAAATCGCTTGATATTTGCAGCTGTCTGACCTTCACGGGGGCTCGCTATACTTTGTGCGCGACATTGGTACCGCGCTTCTCCTATCCACATCGCAGACACTAGGAACAGAATCTTGAAAATCCGAACTCGCTGCAGTGTGCTCTTGTCGGTTCACCCAGCCACCACCTCTGGTCTCAGTCAGCAGCATCTTTATGATGGGTTGAAGGTAGCCCGAGGCCTTCAGCAACCGACCGGGTAAAAGTGTAAATCCTTTGTGCCCTCGACCTTTGGGCACTAACGATCCGGACTCACGGGCCTGTAAATGGCGTAGAGGAGGTAGTAGGAAACCAGGCGCTGCACCTGTGTCAGGCGCTTGTCCTCGGGACAGAATCAAACTAATCGCGGGCATTGCCATAAGTGCAGCTTTAGACTCCCAAGACATGTCATGCTTCGGTTTCGGGCCTTACGGCCTAGAACTGGAAGGAGCAGCACCGTCCTGCAGCAGCATGCTGAAGAGGCAGCCGGCTTGAAACCTGGTGGAAGTGGAGGTGCAGGCAGGGGCCAAACAAGAACTCCCAGATCTCGTCAAGTTGCCACAAATCCTAAAGAGATCAAAGCATATAGTACTGGCCCATGCCCAATCAGCTA